TAAAAAAACAACGTTTGCTTAGTCATTCTCAATAGGTCGTTTAATCGATGCAAATTTCATGAATGGAACACAATTCATAAAGTATGCAGCAATTTTTTTATCCTTTTTTCGAATCGAAAGAGCAATTAACGACAATGATAACTGTTATACGATAATATAAAGCCAAAACAATAGCATCGTTTGCCAACTTTGGTCATTCATTGCGCACCATACTCCGCATACGGTTATTCTATAAATACACAAATAAACACAGTTGACTCACTGGCAAATCTCTTGCTTCTGGCTTTTGAATTCTCTGGAGAATAACGCACTGATTTTGTGCTTTTCATTTTGAAGCGTTTTGGATTTGAACAACAATAGCACCGGATATACAAAGTTGTTTCGTCTTCTGTTTTATTATCGATTTCCTTTCATTTTTGCATTACACGCATACATACATAAGACCTTCCGGTCTTTTCAATTCTATTGTTTTGATTTTTTAAAAAGTTCGATTTGTTTGCGGACACTTTTTCGCTTCAAGGTAGATCGGCGATCATACAGTGGATGGTCATACCAGATTATTCTTTTGATATTCGCATAAACTGCAATTTTATGTTTTAAGCCACACCGTTGCGAATCATCAAACAGCTTATATTTGGCTTTGATCTTTGAAAAGGTTATGCTAAAAAAAGCATTTACTAACTGTTGTTGGATGTCTTATTTTCGTGAGATTTCCTCGAGGTAGAAAAACGTTACATCTTAATTAATTAAATGGCCAGCAGTCAAAATGTTCATTTTTTATTTCCTTTATGTGTAGATATAAATTATCAAAAAGTCTCAATTATACGCCACAAATGACAACGTATCATTTATTTTTTTTTTTTTTTTAAAGAAACTGAAGACCGTCGTTTTGACAAAAATAAAACGAAACTGGATTCTCAAATTTATGCACACCTATGTTCAATTTCACCATACTCATTTGCATTAATTTTCAGATTATATGTTGCGTTGACCGCAAAACAAAAAGACCCAACAGAACAAATGTTTGTTTTGGCAAAGCAATTTTTGTTGCGAGCATTAATTTCAGAATTAGTGGAATTTGGTACAGTTTTGCACTTTAAAAAGAGCAAATTTAATTGGCAGTTGCTGAGAACACGCGATGCGAAGAAACTTCATGAATAAACAAAGTAGCTTCGTTAAATCAAAATAAACAAATGGACACCGTCCAATGGTTTCAGCACGTATGTTATTCCCACGCGCTCAAATGAAAGAATCTTTCTTCGAAAATATGATTTATTCATTGGTTGGAGTGTATGCTTGCCAAAACGCCGCTATCTGTAGACGGAATTCGATTAGCAATTCATCGTACGTTGCGATAGCGGTCGACGTCATCGTCGTCGTCGTCGCCGTTGTCAACTTAGTGAACAAACTCATGTCTCTATTAAAATTGGTTCTTCTTTGCTTGGGCCCGCATGATGTCCGATAAAAAGAGCTTGCAGAGAAAAACGTCATTATTCACGATATCATGTTAATGCATGCAACTGATGATGAAACGACAATGTGATGAATGCAAGATATGATTTGCAAGCAGCCTTGATCATGTTCAGATATATCTAATGCGAATGTAGCCCAATCCGGAATTTCTAAAGCCGTACAAATGGACGACCGAATGATTAATGAATGAAACGCTTATCGATGCTTAAGAGGAAAAAGAAAAGAAGACAAAGTCACGACAATACACATTAATATGTACAACTTAAGTAAACAAATTACATTCCAAGCCCGATGGAAATCGATATTGTGATAATTTAAAACGAGTGGCTTTCATTTTGTATAATCTTATCATCTGCAAAGTGATCTTTTTTCGACAAAGATCTTTGTCTATGCTAACGCTACGTCCGTTTTCACTGATGCCGCCTCTGACGATGAAAACAACAATGCCGATGACGACAACGATGAGAGAAATGTGCACAGAATCCGTTTAATTCAATTAAACAGCGATTTTCACTTTTTTTATCCGCTGCATTTAAATTATTACACACTAACTAACCACACAGCCTATCAATTACCATCTTTTCATTATTTATTTAATGATCGAAATGATGCGCGCGCAAATCATTTAAACATTTTATTGCAATAATAGTGTGCGGCAAGCAACAGCGGCTCAGTGAAAACGGCGCGAATTGTACAACATCGTTTTTGTTATGCGATGCAATATTTACGGAGCCCAAAAATGAAACAAGTAAATGCCCATATTTAAGATGCAATCAAAGTGATTTCACGATTTCATTTGGGCTATGTGGCGACCGTGCTGAAAAGAATGATTAATGCGATGAAAAGCAGCCGCACAACTGCGAGGCTAACAATCTTTGGATAGTTTTTTTTCTTCTTCTGCTGTTTCGTTTTATTATTTGTTGTGCATTGCTCGGTTGACAACACCGTGAGCCGTCGACCAAAATCATCACAAAACAAAACCGTTCAATATGTCTTAATGAAAAATCAAGTAAAGGGTGCGGGAAGTGCTGCGCGCACTTTTGCATTCGGCATAAACTGAACGCGCAACCGAAAGCGATGAGAGAGAGAGAGAAAGAGTTCGTCAGAAGCCCATTTATGGGATGGAATGGTCGAACGAACGTACACAAGTCATAACATTTGAATACAATCACTAAATGCTAATGAGCATTTGATGATGAATGACGAATTAAGAACGGAAAGTTTGCGTTTTGTAAGCAGTTTAAAAGATATTCGACTCATTGCTTGATCTATGACCAACGGGAAAAATATTCATTTATTCAAACTCATAAATCGCAATGCATAACAGCATAAACGAAATGCAAAATGAAAAAAAAGGAGAACAGTTTAACTACACAAACGAAACATTTATTTCGCAAATAAAAATTTCTAACGATTTTCAGCGCATTTCTTCTGATTTATTTGATTCGGGCTCGGGCACATGCTCCCCCGAAATTCAAGTCAAAAGATCATCAACGAGATTAAAATAACAAGGCAGTTATCGTTTTACAATCGATTTCCATGTGCCATAACTAATAATGGAAATGGTTTTAGTTGGACGTGAAATCAATAATTCATGCGGCTGATTAGTACGCGCATGAGCACACACATACAACTGCACTCTGATTGATTCGCTGAAATGCATTTCTGGTTAATCATCATGCCTTTTTTCGCTCTACGGTTTGTTGAAATTGTGCGAAGGTGTTTTGAAACCGTGAACGACTTTTTGGCGCGCATTTCTCACGCTAAATACTTAAAATAAAAATAATGGGTGGAAATCAATTTTTAAGCGCCTTTTCGCCTCGCTTTTGCTGAAAGATGCTTTTGCCAAAGAATTCAATCACACCGCCCGAATCGGTCAAATACTGTGGACAAATCGGAACGAAACTTTCATTTTAGAGGTCATAGCAGCCACATCGGCTTACAACATCTGACAACCATTTATTTGGACATGTAATGAATAATAAATTATTATGCAGTTTTGAAAATTTTATACGGTTTCGCTAGAAAAATGCAAACGTTGAATGCACTACAAGTAGAAAATTACCGTTGAAATGGCTGCTAAATGACTGTTGTTTGTGCGAAAATGGGCACCTAAAGGCATTTTTATTATGCGCATTTTGGTCGATTTTTTTTTCCACCCGATTTTCACTATTGGCTAATCCGAAAATCAATCATGATATATATTACATTCGTAAGCATATTTATCATTCCCAAATAATATTGAACTGAATCATAAAGCATGAAGTTTGGTCATTTCGCCTGAATTGAATAGATAGACGAAAAGTAAATATACAACCAGTCGGCCAGCGTACGTTTATCTGCCACTGAAAGTGAGTCGTAATTTTACACATTTTGCTGATGTTTTTCCACTGAACATTTTCTCAACAACATTCCATCGACTAATGTGAGCGGTGACAAATTAATATCATTCAAATTATGTTTGGTGGAAATTTAATTTTCATTCGAAAAGACAAATCTGCACAGTTCACTTGGATACTTGCAAAATATGATTGATTTTTCAAATTGTTGCGACAGGAATTTAATCGTTGAGTGTGCATATTTTTCAATTGTGAACGATTGTGGCGGGTAAAAAAGAAAGAGATTGCAATCCGGTATCAAAAATATGCGAAGTGGAATTCTTTTGTTGAAACAAGTTTCCAGCAGTCATATGATTAAGAACGATACCGAACAAAAATGGCATCTCAGACAGCAAATATAACTGTTTTGGACCGTATGTGTAATACAAATCAAAATGGATTTACATGCATATACATGAAAATCTCTGAAAAAATACACATACACAAATGTGTATAACAAAGACAAATCACTACCGAACCATTGAAACATTTACAAATTGCCATTTCGAAATGCAAAATTGAATAAACGACTCGGCGAGAGAAAAAAATCGAATGACCCAACCAACGACTGCCCACCCAAGACTTTGTGTATTCACCAGTCTTGAATTATGACTGTGATCAAATGCTACATGATTATTGAGATAGAAGTCAATTAATCAAATTCTTTGTGTGCAACAAAAAAAAACTGTACAGTTTATGTCATTTCCTTTGAAATATATTCAATATATTGATTCATAAAGTAAAGAGGTGCGATTGTATTCACCTCATTCGTATAATCTTGCAGAAAGAGATGGAGTGAGATAAAGAGCGAGAAATATATCGATCAACGAAAAAATGCCGCGGATCATTGGCACAGTTGCTTATTGGCCAAGATTCGCAATCGAAAGCAGAGTAAAAGGCAAATTCATCGTTTACGCACAGTCATTTGAACGGACAAGAAATTATGTACATTTATATTTGGTCTAGATTCTAAAGCAATAAATACTCACAATCTCACATACACACACATTTTCTAATGTGTTTCAATTTACAAACCGTTAAACTGCGTTTCTACTGTTAAGTGTTTTTAACTGAAGTCAATTATTATCGTGTTGTATTTTTCTTCTTAATTTAATTTCTCTTTCTCTTTTTTTTTAACTCAATTTACAGCACGCGAACAATGTTCGAACAGCAGCAGAAGAATACTTGGCCAGACGGCAAGCACGCAACAAATCAATGACGAAATCGATGACATCAGGTCTGGCTGGTCCAATTCTCGCAATGGGAAATATACACTTTTTACCGGCCGCCAAAAGCGGCACCTTCTTTTCCAGAGACAATGTATCGAATTTCATTTCATGGTGCAGGTAAATACCCTACGGTTATTTTACTCATTTAATTTTATATATCACAGCTCATATGGATTGCACTGAAACTAAAGTGCCAAGCATTACGATTCTTTATCGTAATTAAGATTTTATGGTAATTTATTTCGATTCATGCTCACCCATTAAAGGTGACCAACGTCGGCGAAACGAAACCATGTCGATACTGTTCTATTTCGAGACAAACAGTGACGCTCTTCTAAGCCGTAGTAATCTTGTTATTATTATGCAAAAATTGTGTGTGTACTAAAATGCACGGGCAAAGTAATGTTGTCGAATTGAATTGTCTATTTTCAAAAGCATTAAATAGCCATTGCTATTGTTTCGATGCGAAGGTCACATCGACACATTTGAAAACAAAAAAAGTTTTATGATTCCGAATTATTCGGTTGTATTTTTTTTGCTATTTGCGAAGCGCCCGAGAATGAAACAAAAGGCAAAAGCCAAATACTCGCATGAAGGTGACACACCTGAACGAAATGAGCAAATGACCATATTTCATAGCCATAAAAAAGGATTTGCATACAAAAAGACCGACCGATAATTATCTCGGGCGATTCTTTAGCACAACTCACATTAATTTGAAATTAGATGCGAAAAAAATGAGACAAGATCATTTTTCTAGTTGTCTCACACATGGAAACATGTTCTGGCATTTTGGTAAACTCAAGTAACCACTTGAAATATCAACACACAAAAACACTCTTCATTTGTTTTCTTTCTATCTCGTAAATGAAAAGTGGTTTTTTTATCTCGCACAATTCCATCCATTTAGTTTGAAGCAAAGAAAATCGGCCAACATGGTCAACAACTGTAAGGTCTCTTTGTCAACGTTGATAATTATACTTTGTCAAATTGAACGCACCTCGTAAAGTGGACACATTCCCATTCATTCATCATTTGTTATGTGTGTTTTTTGTTCGAATGTTGAAAAATGAAACGTATTGATTTCATGGCATTGCAATTGACACCTGGGAATGTTGTTGAAGTGTGTTACGGTGTGATTAGCGGGATTTATTGGGTATTTGTCTAGCAATCGAATCAACAGATTAAAGCATTCATGCGAATGTGATTCTTGGATTTTAACGCCAAGTACAATCAATTGGTATTTATACACGTGCTCCACTTAATGGCTTTGAAAATAAACGCACATAATTAACTGATTTTACATTTAAATCAAATTAGTCGCTTTATTCCATGCATTATGGTTTTGATGGCTATCAATTCAATCAAGTGCGACTCGCGTTCAATGCCCCCTGTTTTAGCGAAAATCAAACAGTAAAAAAACTATTTTCACTTATGCGTATACAATTTGTCTTCCGAGCATTTATAGCCGTCAAATTATGACCGCCACTTGATTGATTTGCGCCCGTCATTTCCACCTGAATCTCATTTAAATAAATCATCATTTATGTTTATCTCACCTCCCTCTTTCTTTTCTCTTTGCCGTTCGCAGAAAAAGTTTGCAAATATTTGAGTGCCTACTCTTCGAGACGGATGACTTAATCATGCGGAAGAATGAAAAACATGTGATATTATGCCTGCTGGAAGTAGCAAGACGTGGTGCAAAATTCGGTAAGAAAAAAACAAATATACTTATCTCCCAACGACAAGCGTACAAATTTAAGTGATTTTTGTTCAGTTTTATTTACCTTTTGTGGTTCATTTAATCGTTTTGTTTTTACATTCAATTGTGTATTTGTTTGTTTTCGTTTGCAGGAATGTTGGCTCCGATGCTTGTGCAAATGGAGCGTCAAATTGATCGTGAGATCGCCGCCGATAATAAAGCGAATGGTGTTGCATTTGGTACACAAACCGATGATACCAAGCAAACAACATCAACCAGCACCGACACGGAAAATGGCCTTTTCGACACCGATTCCGACGATGAAGATGCCGAAGAGCCAATGCTTACAGTCTACGGACCACAACCACAAATCATAACAAATGATTTAAAAAGTCTCGACGAAATGGTGAGTTTTTACCTTTGATTTTATTTTAAATGTAAACACACCAAAAAAATCACTGCGCATCATTTTCGCAAATCGTGAATATTTCATGAAGCAAATACTGCGTCGCACATGTCATTGCATTAAATTACATCAATTGTCTTCGCAAATTTTTCTTTTGTTACACAAAATTTATGCGCATTTCAACGAAAATGCTGAGCATTCATTCAACACACACCGAATGTGTATTTCTGAGAATAAAAGATTCCAATCGAATAGCATCGTATAAATTCGATGGAATTGTATCTTCGTATAATTAGTCGAACGTTTGTCTTTGAAGTGTTCACCATGTTTCTTCTACAGTTCTTGGCATTTTTGTTAACGATCACAATAGTTCTAACGCAATCTGAAGTGAATTTCATTTGCAAGTCTGGTCATTTGCTGAGCGGAATCGAACGTGTGTGTGATGGAATTGCCCAGTGTTATGACGGCTCAGATGAATTAATTGATTTTTGCGCACATACCCTTTGTCCACCGGAATATTTTCGATGTAATTACGGTGCATGCGTGCCACGGTCAAAGAAGTGCAATGGAATTCGTGACTGTGTTGACTTGTCGGATGAAACAAATTGCGGTCGCAAACAGGACAGTTGCAGTCCAACCGAATTTTATTGTGGCGATAATGGCGATGACACCGATTCGTATGAATATTGTATTGAGTCGTCAAAAATTTGTGATCAACAGCACGATTGTTGGAATGGTGCCGATGAAGATAAAACAATTTGTGAAAATGCATTGTGTCCAGAAAAGACATTTCGTTGTCGTTACGGCGGTTGCATCTCGGAAACTGTGCTGTGCGATGGATTCTATGACTGTTTGGACGGCAGTGACGAGTCGCAGGAATTGTGCATCATATTAAAATGTCCGAAATGCACAAAATTTCTCGTTTCATGTCCACCGTTTGTTGAGCAAAATATCGTATCCAAAAGACTATTGAAAAAATGCATGTGGAATGGACGTCAATTGCCATGCGCTCAGAGTATTTTACCCGGAACCAAAGTCACTTATGCGTGCAAAGATAATTTTAAACCAAAATCGACCAAGGATTTGAGCAATGATTGGAATTTGTGTCAGGCCGATGGAACATGGTTACGTGATATTTTGAAATGTAAGCCGGATTGTGGTAGACTCAGTGCCGGAATTCCATTGATAACAAACGAAGAGAAATTGCCACAAACAATGCCATGGCATGCGAGCATTTATGTTGTCGAAAATGTTTCGAAACCGAAATACATTTGTGGCGCTACGCTCATTTCAGAAGCTGTTGTTGTTACGGTAGCACATTGTGTGTGGAAATACAAAGCGGAAGATTTACGAATCGTTATGGGCAATTTAAAGTCTGAATTTGAAGACCCCGATGATTTTCTTGCACGGTACTTTGAGGTGCGTGACATTTTTGTGCACGAAATTTATTTGGATCAATTTGCAAATTATGGATCAGACATTGCATTGTTGGAACTCTTGAAAGCTGTTGAAATTGATGAAGTCATTGCACCTGTTTGTATTGATGCCAATTTTGACAGTGTGAATGATGAAGAACTAGGTATGGTGGTTGCATTGAGTATGATTGATAATTCAAATGCGAGTCGATCGCTGCATATTAAAAGCATACCCATTATTTCACATCAGAAATGTGTTGAACGACAGACGTCAGAATTTCGAAAATATTTATCAATTACAAAATTTTGTGCGGGCTGGGCGAACGGGACGAGTGTATGCAATGGTGATAGTGGCGCTGGTCTTACAATTCGAAAATCAGATGGTCGACACTATTTGCAAGGGATTGTGAGTATAAGTCCTCGCAAGCAATCGACTGATCATTGTGATCCCAATCAGTACACGATTTTCACCAAAGTGGGCATTTATGTAAAATGGATAGAAAATTACTTGAAGCACATCAATGAACGTTATAATCCACAACTATCAACCGATGATACATCAGACGACAACGCATCGACATAGCCAGTTTGACATCGACAATGACATAAAAATTATAGCTTCAAATAGAGATTGTAAAAATTAATTACCGTGACGTTGTCCGATTTGTTTAACATAATATTTTTACAAGACAAAATAAAGAGAAAGAGAGCGAGAGAGAAAAACATTCCAAATGCAAATCAAATACAAAATGCAAATTTGCTACCGCATCTCGCTTTACATAGAGTTTTTTTTTCTTCTTCTTTTTCGTTTTTTTTATGTTGTCATTGGTGTTGGTTTTTCGTTCATGTTCATGTTTGTAGTTCGTGTATTTTCAATTAAATCACCATAAAGCAATCTGCATTTGACATTTTAACCATTTTCAAGCGAATACGTACTCATGGTATTAGCCATCGGCTAATCTATTTGACATCGCCTGCATGCATGTCGCGTAAATTGTATACTATTTTGTGTGCACATATATGAATTCGATCCCAACGAATACACGGGTAATTCGAGACAGAGGGGAAAGCTTGTCATTATGTCACATAAATTAAACAATTCAACCATTTTCTGGCTGAAGCAGATTTTTCGCCTTTATTTTGCCAGGCCGATGGAACTCGTCGCCAGGCGTCGATTTTTCGCTGTCAAATGTCCGAACTAAAAACACCTTTTTGTGGAACACAAACAGAGAGCGGAACAACAAAAGAAAGAAAGACAGAGAACGAAAATATTAAGTCATCCATTGTTCGATATGTGTTCACTGGAGGCTTATTGGATGTGAAAAGTAGCCAACAATGGCTCAATTCGGTATTTTATTTAGACATAATCAAATCGCACAAAAATTTCAGCTTTGCTCTTGATTTCTGACTTTTTGACATTATTCTCATAAAAATCCATACTATTAGCGCACGAAGCAGTAAAAATGATGGACACGATTTATACACACATCTATAATTGTTTAGTCAGAAAGTGGACGGAAACAACAAAACGCGTTTACTTGACAGATCACGATCATGTACACAAACAACCAGAGTGCAAGAGCTCTAAATTGTAGCAGTCAAAACATTACAATCATAACATGTTACGTGGATGATAATAAAATGTATAAGCTCGAAGTGTTCTTGAGAATTAATACGGCGGAAAATGTGAAACATCCAATCCGACATTTGACATCTTAAAAGGTTACTTTAATTTGCATTTATTTTCAAATGGTTTTCCATTTTCGATCTATCTATTAAAGTGAAAATCCATCATAAAAACTACTTACTTATACTTCATTTTGTCACCGGTTTTTTTTTTGTTCACTCTACACAATATCGTTTTCAGTTTCTTCTGTCTTCTTAATCTGTTATGATGCATAAATATATCCATCTTATCTCGATTTAATATGAACATCGTTTAAATTCTCATTTTAAAGTCATGTGGCAGCCATATAACAAATTGTTTAGCCAATTTCAAATGAATCTAGTTAGTTGATAAATCTCTCTATCTCTAGTTGTAACTCTTTTGTGCCATCGAAACTGCATTCGTGTGAAGAGAAGACGCCATCGACAAGAAAAGAGTAAATTATGTAACGAGATGTTGTAAGTTGTTTGGAATGAAGCTAAGAGTCGTGTGAATAAATCGATGCCAAACAAGAAATGAAACAAGAGATAGAGATGAAGAAGAAAAACAGCCACTACATCTATTAGCCACCGATTTCAGCAGCGCATTTCTTTACAAACAAAGGCAATCAACTAAAACACTGCGCATCGGCAATTAAATCAAATACAATATTCATGCCGTTAACATCAATGTAAATTACTTAATTCTCTGTTTAAAAATCTCTCTTTTTTACCATATTGGTGTGTTATGATTGCTTGGAATTTCATTCAACGATGAAGCATTCCATATTAAAAAAAAAAAACAATTTCTTTCATTAACAAGATGTGATAAATGACAATGGTGATTGCAAAGTATCTCGGGGCATCAATTATGTGCAATCACTTGCATCGAAACTGTCACCAGAAATTAAATTCAAACGTTAATGTAATTAAAATAACGAATTTTCGCATTGTACGAAATGCAATCAATCACATCAATAAACTACATAACCACTTATTTATTTAATACAGATAAAAACCCAATTTTCGTATGGTAAACAAAAAAAATTTACTACGCGTTACCACCAATCCAATTGGAATTAAATCCAATAACAGCCACCGGCACCAAAATCAAAATACTACAGCCTCGACTGCTGGATATTGTGGTTCACACTTCTGCCAGCAAATTGCTGTACACCAGCACGTGTAAATTGATATTTTGTGTCACACATGAATAAATCGCTAGAGAGTACTATAGCTTCTAGTGCACTTGGCGCACACTGTAAAATTCGCTTCATATTTTTCAAATCATATAGATGCGAATTGAATATTGCGATCGAACATGAAAAATTATTCACAATTTAGCGATAATAGCATGCAATCATAATCATATGAATGCAGTGGTTTTTTTTTGTCTTCTCTGTCCTTCTTTTTCTCCATCTATTTCATTCGGTTAATGTTTTATATTTCGTAAAATGCGCAAAGGCGTGTTAATTCTTCTTAACTCATTTTCTCATTGATTGAAATGCATATAAATCATAAGTGCTTTATGCATATTCGGTTTAGCAATTGCTCTTGGGCACCAAAACGTGAGACCCGATGACTTTTATTCACTTCTCTCTCTCTCTCTCTCTTTAATTTGTTTATACGTCGATGCGACGATATGTATTTCAGAATGTCATTTTAATGCATCGATTTACTCTGGTCGGTTCTTTCTGATTGGATTGGTTCGGTTTCTAAATCAACACGTTAATGGGAAAATTCATTAGATCATATTCAATCTATGTAGTAATTAACAGAGAAAAATATTTGATTTATGTTTAGTGTGAACAGAGTAGAAACCAATAAAGAAAGAGCGAAACGGAGACACAATATAACAATATTGAAAGGTGCAATTGCGCCGTAATTAAGTGCGCGATAGTGACAACAAAGTGAGAAAAAAAAACAAACGATTGTACTTGATCTAGTTTTTTTGTTGTTATCCGCCGTACAAATTAGTATGCAAGTACAGCAAAAATTTGTGAGTTCGCGTGATACATTTATTTGCGCGCATGGATTTCCCTTTTGTTTTCACTGCGATACAAAAGTGCACATTTCTAGGTTACCAATGTAAATAAACATGCACCCAAATGCACACACACACTGACGAAATGCGATTGCCATTTTTCGCTAAAAAAATTTATTAGCTCAAGGTTTTGAGAGTTTGGTCGCTGATCTGTGTTCGAGATGTGAATTTTCTCTGCTATATAATTTGATTTGTCTGAAAATTCAATCGACAGAACAATTGAGCGTAGAGAGCAATCAATCTGAATTCTCCATTTGTAAAAAGTTGAGAGTGTACGTAGAGCGCACTTTCATTTGCTACTGCTGTAATGACGATTTAACTTTCGTATTCGGGCTGTGGCGATTCAAAAAATCGATTATCTGGATATTTACATAGCCTGTCGTTCGTTTTCAATGACGATGAAAAGGAAAAATTGCCAATTATAGGCAATGGCAATAAAAGAAAAATCCGATGCGTAAACAACCAACAACAACAATAACAAAAAAAAGGTCCATACGAAATATATAATATGCACGTATTCGATGAACAAAAAAGTACGATCCAGTGCATAGACCAAGACGATTGCAATTTTGCTTAACCGACTGTGAAATGATAATAGCATGTGTTTGTGCTTGCTCGCGATCACACAAAGATTGTGATCGCACACACACACACACAGTTCGAAGGGAAAATTGAACAATTTATGTAAACATGGCATTACGCTTTATTTCGTCGTCTTCTCTTTTCGTTTTCGTCGATATAATATATCCGAAGCCGTTAAAACCATAGAGGCAATTTGAAATTGAACGTGTGACGACGAACGCGCGCACGCCACAAAGCCAAACTCAAATGAAATGAACCGAAATGGAAAAATAGCAGCATCGATGAACATTCAAGAACAATGGCCCGGCATTGTGACAATGTTGTTTAAATGGAGGACATGCAAATGAATCCATACAAATGCAATGCAACTCTATGCGCTGAATTCTTTCTTGCACCAAGCACCGTTTTGGTGTGCTTAGGCACAGCTCCGAATAGCTGCGACGCAATAAAACGAAACGAAAAAAAAACTATTATTTCTTTTTATCGTATTTTTCGTTCCATGTGAGAAAGTTTCTTCTGACCATCAACGAGGTAGCTAGTTTTCGATGTCGCTTTCAAGATTCATCACATTTATCTATCACACATCATTCTATTGCGATTCGAAAATTCACTTTCCATTACACATTCTTTGGTCGTGTTTTTTTTTTGTTTCTCTTTCGCGCGATATGCTTTACAGTTTTACACTCCCAGTTTCATATGGATTTTTTTTATTGAAACATAATGTAAATAAAAAAAAAATGATAGTCAGCGGCAATTTTTTTTTTCATTTCTTCTTCGATTTTCATATAGCTTCTGGTCAAATGAAATTTCTTCATTTTAATCGGAGAATTTTGACTGATTCAACCATATTTTATAACGAAGAACAAATTAATGCTATTACTTTCCATTTTTCATCGTGCGAATGGGGCATTCTTAAGTGCTTAATTTTCTTCAACGAACGCAGTCAATTTAAAGAAACAACCGTTTGTCAGCTGGCAAACATGATTAGACGTCTTTCGGCATCATCATCACCGTTGGCGGCATTAACACAATTTTCTAGTCATATGCATTTTTATCATTGTGAAACAGACGAAGCGTACCATTCCACCTCAATTTTTTTTTTGTTTTTATTTACTTGATGCCAACGTAAAAATCATTTTAATGATAATTTGTGACGATGAATTTACTGTTTAAATGGCCTATACGTTGAGATTATATGAAAATTTTCAGTTGAGAATCGTAAAATATATATGGAAAAATTGCAAAAACAAAACAGACACAACATTTTTTTTCATTAAATCCGTTCATCCGCCTTCAGTGGAACATAAAACAGTTGTTATTATTGCATTCTCACGTGTGCCACACAATATTGAATCATGTTAATTAAGTATATCTAGCTGAATTTTGCGGATCTGTTTGAACACATCATTACCACCCAGGTTTTTGAGAGCAATTTGGCATATA